CACGAGCTTCCACGCTCCACGACGTAGGAGGGCTTTCACGCCTGCGGATAGTTTCTACATTTTTCACCATTGGCAGTACCTAGCTGCTGGCACCTTTTACTTTCCGCCACGGGACCCCGTGCCGAGGCACCCGCGCACAAAGCTACTCAACAGACTCGGCAGCGGTGGAGGGCAGGTCGCGCGTTCGGAAGGGAAGATGGTGGCACAATCAGTTCCTTATTAAAGAGCACTCCTGAGGAGAATCACATTCCACAACACTCTCCCCGATTCTGCACAGGGGTGACTGCGGTACCAAAACAAAATAAAATACAGTTGGACATCCAAAATTTCTCTTCTGCTCACGCCGTGTATCTTCAAAGTTCGTGTTCTGCCACTGAAATGGTCTTGAGTGATCTCTTCGGAGGAACGCATTTGGTGGATCTTGCTCCGCGTCATGCTGAGTACTGGCTCTTACTGCTGTCCTCTACGATCTAGTCGGGAATTTAGTTTCTGGGTCAACCTCGCTTCTTGGCTGAGTGATGCCTCTGATTATTCTTCTCTGCGATCTAGTCGGAAAACGTCAGTCTTGGGTCTTTTCGATATACTCGTAGCATAGCATGCGGGTGGTATATTGCGTATACATATGCGGGTATTGCAGTGACGAACTACGGAGGAACAAGAAGTTTATGTTTTTCTTGGGAGTGTGGTAGATTGGTGGAGATTCATGAAGATTCGTTTTGGGTGTTTGAGCGTTATGCGTGACTTGATGCCGTGATGGAATGACGAGCTCAAGCACGCCCCCGATCAATACAACACGTATACAACACGTTTCCCAACACGTTTTTACCCACCCACGCCCCGTCATGGGCCACCCGCTCTAAACTCCAAGCACATAGAACTGGGCCACCTGAATTATCGATCACGCTAGCGGAGGCACGTCGCCAAAAGTAGTCGGGTCAGACTTAGCTGGAGTATCACTACTGCTGTGCGGTGATAATGGATTGAGTTTAGGGAACAACGAGGCAGAGGAACAAGATAGCTCCCGCAGCGTCGACAAGCGCGCGCGGGTTGAAGCAGAAGAGGTCAACAGGAGTCCGGACGTCAGCTGCGAGGTGAAAGCAGGACAGGGTTAGATACAAGTCATGCGAGAGAGCGAAGAGTACGAGGTAGGCCAGCAGCAGGGAGCGCGCCTATTACCATCGACCATGCCCGCGGACGACATCCCCCTGACCATCGCGCGAGCCCCCGAAGGGCGGCTCAGCGCATTACAGCAGCACCACTTACTTCTGCTACTAAATAGGGTCCCAGACCCGCTCAGGCATGTGATGAAATGATCATGTCGTCTGTCCGAAGATGAATGGCCTTGTTTTGTGTTCCGAAAGATTTTTAGGCTTGTGTCTGACTCCTTTCCGGTGTTCGGAATCCTGCGAAATGTGTGGTGTTGGGATGAAAGAGAGAGTACGGTTGTCACGAACGAGATAACTGAACGTGTGAGGGGTTATCAAGCCACCAACAGCACGTATGAGGGGATGTTATGCTTCCACGAGTATAGTTGCCAATCGTGCAACGCAAAGAGTATGAGGGGTTTTTATCCCACCAAAAGCCGTAGGGTAAAAAGAAAAAAGATGATGCGTAACTTTGTGGGACTACCACGTCACCACCGACACAACAGCAAAGCGTGGACATCATTACGCATTTGAAGGACAGTCAGAATTCTTGACGCAAGCACGTAGGATTTCATGGCAAGTTTGTAGGAGATGTTGGGTAGAATTTCGCTGGAGAGAACAGCAATATGCGTGGCAGGACCTCGGCGAAAAGCGAGACTTGACCCAAGACTGACGTTTTCCGACTAGATCGCAGAGAAAAATAGTCAGAGGCATCACTCAGCCAAGAAGCGAGGTTGACCCAGAAACTAAATTCCCGACTAGATCGTAGAGGACAGCAATAAGAGGCAGTACTCAGCATGACGCGGAGCAAGATCCACCAAATGCGTACCTCCGAAGAAATCACTCAAGACCATTTCAGTGGCAGAACACGAACTTTGAAGATACACGGCAGATGCAGAAGAGAAATTTTGGATGTCCAACTACAGTTGTATTTTATTTTGTTTTGGTACAACAACAGTCACCCCTGTGCAGAATCGGGGAGAGTGTTGTGGAATGTGATTCTCCTCAGGAGTGCTGTTTAATAAGGAACTGATTGTACCACCATCTTCCCTTCCGAACGCGCGACCTGCCCCCCACCACTGCCGAGTCAATCCTTCTGGAGCGACAATTGTGGTCTCCCCCAACCAAGGCGGACGATTTACTGACGATGCTCCAGCCGCGGCCAGCCGGACGAAGAGCACAGAAGGCGACCGCGGCGGAGGCGAGCGAAAATCCGC